TTGTTGGTATGTCTTGGGATATGTGAATCAGTGAGCATTCTGTGATCTTTCTCTGCTATATGGCCCAGCCACACAAATCACCCCACATGTGTTCAAAGGAGGGCTGGTTTTTCCATACCCTTGTCAATGGCAGATTTATTCCACAGGCCATTGTTCTGCCAGGGATAAAAGCAGGCATGTGTCTTTCCTCTCTTAAAAAGAGTTCCTTGTTGGAATTTAATTTATTAAGTTTGCTTTAGTTCATTTAGGTTCATTACTCAGCTTTTTTATTGTTTCAGCTATGATTTGATACTTTGATCTTGTGTCAAATCATATACTACCTTTTAATAGTTTTTGCTATAATTTACTTTCATTTTTTAAGCTTGTTCTTGTTTGGTGGAGGGTAGTGATTGGAAACTTTCTACATTTTAACCAGAAGCAAAAGTCCCTTAATCCTTAATTTTAGCATTCTTATTTATTTAAAATATATCTTTAATCATAAACATGAGACATAGTTTCAAAATTGGTAGGAATGTTAAATGTGTACATGGTTAGGTTGGTGAAGTAAGAGCCTTTCTTTGGGTGTAGTGAACTGGGAAGGAAGTCCCAGACCCAGAAGTTCACAGGCATATGGTCAGTGAAGCAGGAATGTTGGAGAAAGAAGAAGAAAATTTAAGGAGATGGTTCTATCAACTCATACTGAAGAATATCTGCGATTCATGCACTTGTATAAGGATAGACTCCTTTCCATACTACAGGTTAGTGAGTTGGCACTGTAAGTGGAATTTCTAGTACAGTACGGACAGCTAGATCATGCTGCCCTAGCTCTTGGACTGTACTCTTCGAATCACTAGGTGATTACTTTTTCCATCATGAGGGCCTTAGAACTTCCCCCTTATTTAATTATCAGGTACAAGTGTGGAAACAAGAGTTTTGGTGGATTTGTATTTTGTCAGGCTACCTAAGCTGGAATTACATTTCCCAGAAACTGCTTCCTTGCATATGCTTGAGTTAAGAGGTCACAAAAGACAGTTTTCATGAGATTTGGAAGGTGAAGAAGCAGCCATATCCTTTCTATGTCTGGAAAGTCAGTCTAGAGGCACCAGGGGCTGTTGCTTATGTGCATGACTGTTTATCTTCTGGCTCATTTCTGCTGGCTGGGTGTGCAGCCCAGTCTGCAGCCCCTTCAGTTCCCCTCAGGTCTTCCTGCAGCTTCTCTGACTCTTGGACCATGTATGCATTTAGATCTGTGATGAAGGGCACCAGCTACTCCTGCAGGACCCTGCATCATCAACGTGGCAGGGTTAGAGGCAGGAAGACAAATATGGGCTCTGGTTTATCTCTGTGAATTCTGGTTTGTCTTTGTTCTCTCTGATTCACATCCCTCTTCCTTCCCTAACTTCCTGCCCTGATTACTTTAGGATCCAGCACCAGATGCAGAGCCAACAGCTTCACCCAGACTGTTTAAGCAGATCCTATAATTACCTATGGTCAAATCCCTATAACAAATCCCTTATGATTATATACCTTCTAGTTGTTTTGTTCCTCTGATAAAATCCTAAATGAGAAATAAGCCTTCTCTTCACACCTTTATCTTCTTATCATACCCTTTAGTAGTAAAGAGGCTAATCAGTTAAGTATAAATTTACCCCAAAGCTAGGGAATAATAAAAAGGAAACTAAAACCAGAGCAATACGAATCTGGATAATGTGAGCAAATTATGGCTCCTTTTCCCCTAGTCCAATTCTGCCTGCACAACCTCCTTCCTAAATCCCATTTCAAAGACTTTCTTAATTCCCTCTATTAGGAGGGCTGTTTTTAGCTATGTTTACTCATCAAAGCATAGGTCAAGAAAAGGAAAACAAGAGAGTAAGTCCTTCTTGCCTCTTAAGGCCTGTTCTCCAGTTCCTGGTCCTCTTCAGGGTCTGTCTTCTACCCTGCATGACAGCCGGAGTTCCAGCACCCTTCAAGAGGGAGCTGGATGTGGACTTCCTTGGTGGGCCAGAGACTGAGACTTTGCATTCCCAGTGCAGGGGGCCTGGCTTCGATCCTTGGTCTGGAAAATAGATCCCACATGCTGCAACTAAGAGTTTGCATGCTGCAACTAAACACCCCACATGCTGCGGCTAAAATGTAACACAGTCAAATAAATACATACATATATATATATATATATATTTTTTTTTTTTTTAAAGAGAGAACTGGTCCACCACCCAGGTGTAACCTAGGCTTAGAGAATACAACAGGATAACCAAAACTATACAAAACAACCACAGTCAAATAGCAAAATCTGCTCTTTCAGTAGCAAATTTTTTTTACCACAAACTTGCTGTGAGTATTATGTGCAGTTCATTACTAGGCAAATGATATGGACCTGCCCTTCTTCCTTCCTTAGGACAGATAACATCTCACTCTGTTGTGATCTCTTTTGGCCCTTGATATTTGTTTTAACTTTTTTTTTTTTAACTGGTATATGATTGCTGGGAGTTGGGAAGGACATGCTGTGATCTCCCAGGTTCTGGGCCCCACCACTCATGGGTGCCTTGGTAGGGGAGATATTTGGGGCCAAGACCACTGTGGTTCTGCCATGGACATGCTATGAAGGCAACAGCTGATGTCTCTCCCAGGTTTCGTGGCCCTCACCTGCTAGCATGTTTTATCTTCCCTCTCTGGCCTAGCTGTGTTTAGCGCTTACACAAGGTAGAAACTTGACTAATAACACCCAGAGTTCAGGCAGATATAATCATGGAACTAGATCAGATCATAGAGGAAATACAGACCAACCCAGCTATTTTACCGATGAAAGAAATGGCTCAAGGAAGTTAAGCTTGGCCATGCAGCTCACGGTGGAGCAGAAGCAGTGGAGAAAGTTGACAGTGGGTACTGGTTAGCCCAGCTACAGAGTCTGTCTCAGATATAATGCTTGTTTTTACATGCCACTGATTGTACCCTCCATGTTAATGTAGTGCCTGGCACGTCGTAGGTGTTAAAAAACTTTTACTGAATGAGTGAATAAATATGTGAAATGTGCTGAGAGGTAATTCATCTAAAGCCACAGGTCTAGTAAATACCCAAGCCAGGATATACACTGAGGCCTAATGTCTTAACCACTATGCTTGGCAAGGAAACGATTGATTTGTGTAACTTTGCAAATCGGCTGGGTCTCCCTACAGTGGCAGAATAACATAGTGGCTGCCAGCAGGAAGCTACGGTGGGGAACACAAAGAGCTGAACTTTACTGTGGATGGTCTACTGGTTTTCCCTCGTGTGACATGGGTTTCAAGTGTCTGTGGCCATAGAACAGTAGGATCTGGCCTCAGAATCTGTTAGTCTAGGTTTGTGATTCCAAATGGTTTTGGCAGAAGGACCTCTTAACTTAAAAACAATTTGGCTTCCTTATATACTCTAAGTGGGCAGCTGCATTATTAAAGCAAATATTTTCTCAATATCATAGATTCTGAGTAAATATTGGTAAGGATTCAAAAATTTCTTTCACTTGAACTTGGAAGCATCAATTGTTGGTTTGTATTTGTTATACATTTCCAAAACAAACCTTAAAGTCGTGAATTGTTCCCAAGTAACAATTACAGTGCTTTCAGAGTCACTGAGCAAAAAGGAAATTATTACCCTGGGAACCTTCTCGGTTTAAGGGTTTTTTTCCTCCTCACATACATCCTTAATCTAGGGTCAAAAGCTTTTACATTTCTTTTTTAATTGACTCTGATTTTCATGCTTTCTCTCTCTTTTATTTTCCCAATGGAGAATCCACATTATTTTATCATGATTTTTTAAAATATACATAAGAAAAGAAAAAAGCAACTTCTTAAAAATTATTCTGTGACTTTGGATGAAGATTTTAAAATCTTCATTAACATTTGTGCTAGCTTCTGTAGTGAATAAAAAGTAAAAGAAGACTTTGTCTCAGTCCTCTAAGGACTAATTTGGGCCAAGTTGTAAGCTTAGGCTTAGTGGACAGCTGCCTAGTTGGGTGATTTCAGAAACCCCAGAAGGGAAAATAAGAAACCAGAGTCTAATTATAGTCTTTTAGAAAAAACATAAAATGTCAAGATGGAGCTTGTTAATAATAATAATAACAAAACTCATGATAGCTGATAATAATTCCTATTAATGAAGAAGGAAATGGCAACCCACTCCAGTATTCTAGCCTGGGAAATCCCATGGACAGAGGAACCTGGCAGGCTATAGTCCACAGGACCGCAGAGTCAGATACGACTTAGTGACTGAACAGCAACAAACTACGAGTAAACTCTTTCTTGGGGGCTAGACTCTGTGCTGCGCCTACATGCTAAGTCGCTTCAGTCACTTCTGACTCTGTGTGACCCCATGGGCTGGAAGGCCACTAGGCTGCTTTGTCCTTGGGATTCTCCAGGCAGGAATCCTGGAGTGGGCTGCCATGCCCTCCTCCAGGGGATCTTCCCAAACCAGGGATCGAACCCACGACTCTTATGTCTCCTGCATCGGCAGGTGAGTTCTTTACCACAAGTGCCACCTGGGAAGCCCTAGACTCCGTTCTCAGTTCAGTTCAGTCCATCAGTCATGTCTGACTCTTTGCGACCCCATGGACTGCAGCACACCAGGCTTCCCTGTCCATCACCTACTCCCGGAGCCTTTGACTATGCCAAAGCCTTTGATTGTGTGGATCACAACAAACTGGAAAATTCTTAAAGGCTCTGTGCTAAGAAGACATTATTACTATGTCCACTTTTCTGGTGAGGAAATTGAAATCTGATACTGAACAGGAGGCTACCTAATCACTTTCTAAGAAGAGAATTTAGTCTTGGGTGTAGACAGGCAGACAGATAAATTCATAAACCTGCTGGTAACAGGGAGTGGGTCCTGGAACTGAACAAATGGTGCAGGGAGGGACTAGAAGTGAGAAGAAACAAGATTTGATACACTTGAGTCTTTGTGGTGTCAACTAGTATTAGGATACAAGGATGCTGAAATTAATGCACTAAAAACTAACAGTGGCATCTGGCACAAGCTGTGACAGTACTTACTTGTGAATGTTATTTTCCACTTCAGAACCTCGTTTGGATTTAAGTTTCTGCCTACAGAAAGGGCAGAACAAATCATTCTAATTGTGATGAAAATAAATGTTAAGTTCATTTGCTTCTAAAATTAGGCCATCCTGAACACTGGGTTTAAGCAAAAGAAATGACAAAACCAACATTAAAAAAAAGTTTAAAATATAGGCTGTCTTCCCCTCCCCCACATTATATATATAGATGTTTTGACAGCATGCTATTACCTTAGGAAACCAGATAGTATCTAGCTAGCAAGAACTTTCAGGCAGCAGAATAATATTACCAATAATTATACTGAAGGGTAACCTTCATAAACTGTTAAGGTGTGTTAAGCCCTGTGTGAAGAGCTATACATGGGTTATCTCAGCTACTCTTCATAACAAGATCTTGTGAATTTGGGATTAAGACATAAAGGAGTTAACTACTGCCAGGAATAATGAAACTAGTAACCAGTGGGGTTGGAATTAATTTCAGGTAGCCTGCGGTAGAAATATCATCAAATTCCTGTAATTAATTAATGCCTGTCACCCTTAAAGCAGTGAGTTGGGTGTTTCTTCTTTTCACTTTCAGCTTAGTCACTACTCAGAGATATTAAATGACACAAGCTTATCTTATACTGTTTTGGTCATTCAGGGTAATTTTTTCATTAAACCAAAAGATGGCGGTTCAAGTCTCTCACGTGGAACTTCTGAGGGTGCAAGCCAGCGTGGCCTCCATGGGCTACTACACTTTATGAGAAAGTGAAATGCCAGAGATAGTCGAATCTCCAAGTGCTTTTCTACTTGAAAGTGAATGTGTTAGCTGCTCAATCATGTCTGACTGTGACCTCATGTACTGTCCATGGGGATTCTCCAGGCAAGAATACTGGAGTCAGTTGCCATTTCCTCCTCCAGGTGACTTCCCTACCCAGGGATCTAACCCAGTTCTCCTGCATTTTGGGCAAATTCTTTACCATCTGAGCCACCAGGGAAGCCTACTTGAACCCCTGGGCTATTTGATGTGAGCAAAAATGAAAGCACCCTGGACATCACCAGGTGAAAACACTGCATGTTTTGATGAATAAAATTCTAAATGTAACACTGAGTAAGTGTTTTGGTTTGTATACATGTTTATTCAGTAGGATTATTCTACTTGGTTCTAGGAGTTTTCCCCACTTAAATTTTGCATTGAGCTTAATCTACATATACACATAAAAAAAATTTAAAGTCAAAGTAAGTCTTTATTAATTGACTTGAACTGAAATCATGCATAACCCCCCCTTTTTTCCCCAGAGAAATTTAGCCACATGCTTTTTAATAGAAAATTTATCATATTCATTTTATCTTTGTCCTCCATGGCAACTTGTAGAGTTGGCCCTCAATAAATGTTTGTTAAACTGCACACAACTCTATACATGGAGGGGGCTTCCCAGGTGGTGCTAGTGGTAAAGAATCTGCCTGCCAATGCAGGATATGTAAGAGGCATGGGTTTGATCCCTGGGTTGGGAAGATCCCTAGAGGAGGAAATGGCAACCCACTTCAATATTCTTGCCTGGAAAATCCCATGGACAGAGGAGCCTGCTGGGCTGCAGTCCATAGGGTTGCAACTTAGCATGCATGCACTATACATGCAGAGAGTTCCAAAATGGCTTGTCTTGATTTTGGTTTCTAACTTTGAAAAGCTAACATCTTTCTCTTTCAGAGTGGAGCTGGGCAATTTATACAATCGAGAGTTGGTTGAAAACTGGAACTATTTATTAGTGAAAGTAGGGAGACTTGAAAACTATTGCTGTTATATTTGTGATTTCTAATAAAAACTCCAGGAAGCCTACATGTTTGGAGGAGACATAAATGGATTTGGGGAAACTGCCTATTCTATCCACAAGAAAATTTCACATGCCAAAGCTGACTCTTAGTATTTTATGCAGTCTCTGTGCTTCTCTGGAGCCATCATTCACTAGGTGAGAGAGAAACCTGTCTTCTTCCTGGGGGACTCTTCTGTGGCGCCACCAGCATGACACATGTCCTACCACGTGTGCATAGTTGCCCACCCCTTTTACGAGTCAGTGCAGTGGCTTTCCAAACCAAGATTGTGCAGAATTTGCTGATGTATTCTATTCTATTTAAGTGATGCTGATCAACATTCACTTGATTGATAAAAGTGATTCGTTGCCTCACTTATGGGTCTCAAGTCCATTTCAAAAACACTTTAGATTAGGATCTAACATTGGGTTAGAGAAAGTCAACATGAGATCGATGTAGAACGCCTTGAAAAATTTGCTCTTATTGTTTTATTGTTCACTGGGATTAGTCCTTTTCCAAAATAACAATTGGTTCTGCTGTTATTTACTTTTTAAAGTCTTTAAGTAGTTTCTTTGGTATCTTGTCCAGAGTTTTAAGTTTAATCAGTGGGAAAGATACATGGGTTTACCTCATCTTGGCCAAAATCACACCCCCTTCCTGCTTTTGAAATAGTTCTGACTTAAGACTCCAAAAATCACGGGGCAGTTTTTCAGGGCCATTTAATTTTAAATCTACATTGGAGATTTTCTCTTTGGGCCCCAATCTCTCAAGATGATCGCCTGAAACAGGAAGAATCCCACCCTGATGCCCTTCTGCCATGCTTGGGAACATGTGACAAACACTGGCAGCAGGGGCAGTGATGATCTCATGAGAGACCAGGGAACTGCTGAGCTATCTCCACATGGCTTTACAAGTGAACTTGGACAAGTGGGTTGGGAATTGGAGCTGGTGGAAGAACAGGGCTGAAGGAAGAAGCATGAGGAAGGATCCAGGAGTCAGCTATTTGGGTTCAGGCTTTCTCACTGGAAACTGTGATCTGTTTCTTCTCTAGAAGACATTTTCTTGTCTCTAAAATAAGAACAACTAGCTGAGTGGATACAAAATCAAGACCCCGATATATGCTGTCTACAAGAGAACCACCTCAAAACAAGGGACACAGACAGACTGAAAGTGAAGGGCTGGAAAAAGATATTTCATGCAAATAAAGACCAAAAGAAAGCAGAAGTAGCAATACTCATATCAGACAAAATAGACTTTGAAATAAAGACTGAAAAGAGAGTACATAGTGATCAAAAGATCATCCAAGAAGAAGATATAACAATTATAAATATATATGCACCCATCATAGGAACACCACAATATGTAAGGCAAATGCTAACAAGTATGAAAGGGAAAACTAACAGTAACACAATAATAGTGGGAGACTTTAATACCCCACTCACGTATGAATAAATCAACCAAACAGAAAATTAGCAAGGAAACACAAGCTTAAAATGATACAATGGACCAGTTAGACCTAATTGATATCTATAGGGCATTTCACCCCAAAACAATGAATTTCACCTTTTTCTCAAGTGCACGTGGAACATTCTCCAGGACAGATCACATCTGGGGCCATAAATCTAGCCTTCATAAATTCAAAAAAATTGAAATCATTTCAAACATCTTTTTTGATCATAATGCAGTAAAATTAGATGTCAACCACAAGGAAAAAAACTATTAAAAATACAAACATATGGACGCTAAAAACATGCTTCTGAATAACCAACAGATCATGGAAGAAATAAAAAAGGAAATAAAAATATGCATTGAAACAAATGAAAATGAAAATACAACAACCCATAACCTATGGGATTCAGTCAAAGCAGTGCTAAGAGGAAGTTTCATAGCAATACAAACTTACCTCAAGAAATAAGAGAAACACCATATAAATAACCTAACTTTACACCTAAAGCTACTATAATAAGAAGAATTGAAGAACCCCAAAGTTAGTAGAAGGAAAGAAATCATAAAAATCAGAACAGAAATAAATGAAAAAGAAATAAATGAGACTATAATGAAAATCAACAAAACTAAAAGCTGGTTCCTTGAGAAGGTAGATAAAATAGACAAACCATTAACCAGACTCAACAAGAAAAAAAGGGAGAAAAATCAAATCAATAAAATTAGAAATGAAAATGGAGAAATCACAACAGAAAACACAGAAATACAAAGGATCATAAAAGACTACTATCAGCGACTACATGCCAATAAAATGGATAACTTGAAAGAAATGACAAATTCTTAGAAAAGTATAACCTTCCAAAACTGAACCAGGAAGAAACAGAAAATCTTAACAGACCCATCACAAGCATGGAAATAGAAACTGTAATAAAAAATCTTCCAACAAACAAAAGCCCAGGACCAGATGGCTTCACAGGTGAATTCTACCAAAAATTTAGGGAACAGCTAACACTCTTTCAGAAATTTGCAGAGGAAGGTAAACTCCCAAACTCATTCTATGAGGCTACCATCATCCTAATACCAAAACCAGACAAAGATGCCACAAAAAATATCACTGATGAATATAGATGCAAAAATCCTCAACAAAATTCTAGCAAACAGAATCCAACAGCATACTAAAAAGATCATACATCATGACCAAGTGGGCTCTATCCCAGGGATGCAAGGATTCTTCAATATCTGCAAATTAATCAATGTGATACACCATATTAACAAATTGAAAGATAAAAGCCATATGATTATCTCAATAGATACAGAGAAAGCCTTTGACAAAATTCAACACCATTTATGATAAAAAAAACTCTCCAGAAAACAGGCATATAAGGAATATACCTCAACATAATAAAGTCATCTACGATAAACCCACAGCAAATATTATCCTCAACAGTGAAAAATTGAAAGCATTTCCTCTAAAGTCAGGAATAAGACAAGGGTGCCCACTCTCACCACTATTATTCACCATAGTTTTGGAAGTCTTAGCCACAGAAATCAGAGAAGAAAAAGAAATAAAAGGAATTCAGATTGGAAAAGAAGAAGTAAAACTCTCACTGTTTGCAGATGACATGACCCTCTACGTAGAAAACCCTAAAGACACCACCAGAAAAGTACTAGAGCCAATCAATAAATATAGTAAAGTTTCAGGATATAAAATTAACACACAGAAATCCCTTGCATTCCTATACACAGACAATGAGAAAACAGAAAGAGAAATTAAGGAAAAATTCCATTCACCATTGAAAT